GCTCTTTCAGCTCCACATACAAGAAACTCAACCCGCACCCCTTTCCCGGGGAAACCCCCCTGCCGCCCCGTCCCCAAGTGACAGCGTCCCGGGGCGCGGGGAGGACGGAAAGGGTGGCACTCACAGGCTCCGCGTCCAGGCGGGCAGGTCTCCGGGCAGCGCCGCCAGCCCGCGCCCGCCGCAGTCCAGCGAGTCCCCAGCGCAAGTGCAGGCGGCAGCGCAGGGCGCCCGCGGGCCGGCCGCGGCCGATGCGGGCTCCAGCCGAAGTAGCACCAGCAGCAGCAGCAGCAGCAGCAGCAGCCAGTGGAGGAGAAGACAAGGCGAGCGGCGCGGGGCCCCGAGCGCTCGCCGGACCGGCCGCGCCATCTTGTCTGGAGCGCGCAGCGAACTCCCGGCGCTGGGGCTGCGAGGTCCGGGGCGACCGCAGGCGCGGGCGGGCCAGCGGGGGCTCCGCTCAGCACTAGGCTCCGCGCCGGGACATGCCCGCCGGCACAAGTTCTCTCTGCGGCGGCGACTCCGGCGTTCAGCGGGCCCCCGGTGCCCGAGCCGCTCCGCAGCGCCCGGAGGGGGCCGCGAACCCCGCGCCCATCCGGGCCGACCCGCCCGTGCCCGCTGCGAACCCCACGGATCCGGGCAAAGGGTGCTTGGCCGGCGCTCCTCGTTCTCCCGCCGCGCTCCTGGCCGGGCTTCGGAGTCCCCGTGCACGCCAAGTGCCGCCGCCGCTGCGAGGAAGGCGCTCAGGCTCGCAGCCGGAGCTCTGCGCCCGTGGGCATCTTCCTCGCCGCTACGAGCGTCCAGCTGCAGACTCCGGGCTGGACGGCGCGGCCAACCCCGCACTGCTCCAAAGACCCGGTGCGCCTCGCTGTCCCAGCGCCCAAGGCAGAGCGCGCGCACGCAGTTCCGGGCTCCGCACGGCTCCTCCGCTCTGAGAGAACCCCGCACACTTCGCAACCGAACAATCAACCGCTAGCAGCTCGCCTCCCCGGGTCGCAGCCCCGGCCGATCCCCGAGGCCCCGCCCCCGGCCGCTAGCCCTCGCACACCCCCTGGGCTTCTTGCCCCGCAGCCTCCAGCCGGCCCACGTTGGAGGCTTTGCAACAGCGCCCCGCCCCGCCCCCCGCCTGCTGCTCATTGGCTGATGGGGTCCACGGCGGCCAGCTTGGACGCCCATTGGAGCTCTCTCCATGATCCCGCCCCTCCCGCCTCTCGGGCCACCCCGCCCCACTCTCTTTTCCCACCCAAGGTGTGAAGGGCGGGAGACTGGGAGGAGAAAGGGAGAGACGGCCTCCGGCTCTTAAAGGGGACGTGCTGACTGATGATGGAGAAGCGGGATGCGCACTGGGGAGAGGAGGAATAAAGGTACGCCCTCTGCGTTTAATGGAAGGGAGGACGTTGGTAAAGAGGGTAAAGCCCCCGCTTTGGAGCGGTCTGGCCTCAAAGTTTCTTCCTCCTTCCCAGACTGCAAACAGGGCCAGCGATTGACAGCAAGTTTACACACCCATTTTCCAGATGCCCACTAGGAGCAAAGATGCAGATTTAAAACTGCACTAATTTCCTACTGATGGGGGCATCTTTAGTTATTTTATTACGGGTGGCCGCCTTCCTCTCTCACAACCTGGAGCTCTTCTCGGCTCCTGACTTGTTCTTGACCTCTTAAATCCAGCAATATGTCCTCGATTACCAAAATGAATGTGTACTGCATGCAGAAACCGAATCTCAAAGGTGTACACAGTCCCACCCCCATCTCCGCCCTGGTGAATCGAAGGGTACTCCTGGAAACACTCCAGCCTTCGACAAAGGGGTTGCTTTGTTTGTTTAAATCAGAGCGTTTTAAAGCCAGTTTTCAAGAAGCAGTACATCGAGTACTCCTCAGAGACAGAGTAAAAAGGCAACTAGTAACTGTTACAAAGCTACTAACTTTGGCTCCTACTGATCCGAACATAGTAACCAAGTGTTAGGACAGTGTACTGAAACAGTAAAGCAGGCGCTGCGCGGGACACACACACACACACACTACAAAAGTTAAAAGACTGGCACAGTAAGATATATAGCTGCTCCTATCCGCGTTTGGGTTTGCTGGTGTCTCATGCCCCTTCCCAAGAGTACGCAAGTCTCCAACATAACTGAACACATTGTCAGGAAAATTAAGCAAGTCATGTCTGTTGAAAAACATCTGTGCCAGCAAATGAAATCTGACTTAGGGAGATGTTCCTCTGAAAGAAAAAAAAAAAAAAATGTTAAAGGTTTTGTCCCATTTTTGACACATTCTAAGGGGTTGCTTTAATTGAGATGTTAAAATTTTCCTCAGTCATGAGAGCACCTCTTTTCTTTAACCAAAATGGGGTTTGGGCTTGGTAGTCAAGGAGTTGCTGGTTTCCTTTCTTTTTGTTCCCTCCTTCCCCTCTTTATCCCCCTCCCACTTCTGATTTATTATGCTGTCAACTACTGGTCCCTCATTTTTTCCTCCCTTCTTCCCTTCCTCCCTTCCCCCACCCTCCACATGATCTCAGTAGTAATACCCAATACAATGCTCAAATATGTGTGTAAATCAATCCAAATGTGATTCCCCAGAAACATTATCAGAAAAAGGCTGCGCCTGACCCATTCTACCTAGGGCTTTAACCAGCTTTTATGTTTCATTTGTGATCCACATTAAACATATACCTTCCACCTGGACAAGAAGCAGTATATCTCTGCTATAATGCCTTTCGGTAAAATAATCGTAATAAGAGGATGGATGGGATTTAAATGACCCCAAATTGGTGTAGTCCTCTATGTCAAGGTTTCTTAAATTTTTCAAGACCCAAGAACACAAAACAGTAATTTAATGCAGAATACCCACGAACATTTCTTTAAACGAAACTGTCAGACCTGCTTGCCCCACCTCAGATGAAACAGCATTTGCAGCAGAAATAAAATGAACTCATTGAACCCCTTGAGATGTTGACCTAAAATTATCTTTCAGCTTTGTTCCATCATTGATATTGTAAAATGGAAATTTATTGTCAAATGGTTTTCCAAATGCTTGTGGGTGCACCTGTGAGATGCTTCCTTGGAGGATAGGAGGATAGGAGTTGAGAATCAGCAAGGTAAAGATGTGCTCACAAATCTAAATCAGCCCCTGTGGTCTGGTTACCACGCAGCCAGAGAGAAGGATACCAAAATGCAGCAACACTTGCAGGGACTGGGCGCCTGAGCCTTGGCAGTTCCCCTTGTCTACAGCAGAGCATGAAGTCATGTCTGCTCCCCATACCATGTATGGAAGTTTGCCCATATACTAGCAACCTGCTTGTGACTGAAAGGAGAGTGTGGGCTTGGAGAGCTCAGGGGAGAATTCACCTGTGGCCACAACCTAAAATCACAAAGACCTGAATGACAACAAGGGCAAGTTTCTAAGGGAATCTCTGTCCCTGCTTATAAAAGAGCAAGTGCTGGTCCATTCAGCACCAAGTGACAGTCGATTTGGGCATTCTGGGTCCTCACTTTCCTCCACTGCCATTTTCCCAATTTTAAAGAGTTACTTATTCCTTAAAGCGGTCATCCAGGGATTTTTTGGTTTTCCCATTCATTTTAATCTACCAGACACCAAACTCCAGGGGCCAGCATGGACTCAAACCCCCCTCAAAAATCACTGCAGGGCTCCCTCTTAAAAACAGAAGCTCTAGCAGTTAATCATCCTAAACCCACTGAAAGAGACAAACCCCAAATCTAAATAGCCTGAAATGACCAAGCAGGAGACAAGCAAATGACAAAATAACAAGAAGGCAGATTGATCACATGGACTTTTTTTTAAACACAAATTCCAGCGGACCGAATCATGGTGGTTTATGACAGTTCTAGGTGGTGATATTTGGTGG